CTCAACTACTTCTCCCGTAGGATTCAGTTTACTTCACTCAATGGTGCAAAATCTTCCTCTAATAACACAAAAGCCGGTATTTTTCAGGGTGCCATTTTGTCCCCTTTCTTGTTTTCCATGTATATACAAAATGTTCCCATTCCCACCAACTTTATTGCTCGTCAACTCATCAGCATACTTGCTGATGATCTTGTGATTGGTTGCCCAGCCCCTATTTCAGACCGTTTTCGACCTCTCCAGGACAGTCCTAATGAACGTCACGATTGATCTGTGACCCGATCCATTGAAATTAACGTCAGTAAGTATAATAAAGTTCCCTTTAGTCCTAAAACCGGTCCCCGTTATTTTTTATTAGCTGATAATCTCCCTGATCTTAGATTTAACAATCAAAGCATTCCCAAATCTGCATTTGTTGAATACCTTGGTGTCACCCTTACCCATAACCTGTCCTGGTCTGCTCATGTCATCAAAGTTTTCACAATAGTTCGAAAACTGTCCTTCTATACTTACAGGCTCAAGAAACTGGCCGTACCGCATAATCTCGTTATTAAATTTGTGATTCCTCACTGGCGATAAGGCTTCCCGAATTTTATCCCAGGACTGGAAGAAAAAGACCTCTTTATTTCCAAGCTTCCTTAATCTTTTGTCTCGCTAAAGTGGAGTTGATAAAGCTGTTTTTGTTTCTTTATTTCCAAGCATCTTGGCGCTTGTGAAACATTCATTGACAGGATAACGCGTAATCAACGGCATTGTCTGCACCAAGATATCGCGAAAGCCTTGTCAATTCTCCGGACACGCTACAGATATCACATCCTTCCTGCGTAGACTTCCACATATCGAAACATTGTAGTTTCGTACTTAGCTCATTTACTAGTAAATCGTTAGCGTATCCCCACCCCCTCAGGGAGAAACTCGCCATAGTTTTTTCTCTCTTTTATTAAAGTGCAGACGCTTTATACTGTATTTTTTGATTAGCAATTATTTTACCTATCCACTGTAAAACTCGTAAACTACTGAAAATTCACCTTTTCGGTGCATAAAGCGTTTCTTGACTTGACTTAACTTTTGACTGCGCGCGGTTGAAAATCTGTCGTGGATCGATAAGATCGCATTTTTACGTTTTACAGTGTTTTTCTGTACATCGTTGCGTATATTCTTAATTGTGATTACCCTAAACTACCTCTATTCCATCTTATTCCATTGCGATTTATATTTTACTAGTACCACTACTCTTCAACTATGTATTTTGAGCTTTCTGAGTCCTCCGACGCGGACAGTTTACCCATGCGGGAAATCCCCATACTACATGAGGTGACTGAAACCAGCGACTGGGCTAGCACTCAAATAGCGCTAGAAGCGGCTCTAGTAGCCCTTGACCTTAAAGGTTCGATTAAACACCAACTGCGTGGAAAAGTCTCGGCTCTAGATAACGATTTAAGTCACCTGACAGCGTTATTTAAGGATAACTTCCCGGCATTTGCTGCCGCAGGCCAGGCGGTTGCGCTATCGAAGCAACAGATATTCGACACTGCAGCCAAAATAGAACCAGCGGCCATTTGCGCCAAACGGATTATAATTTGGAAGAGTTTCCCCAAGTTCAATTATCCGGTTCAGGCAACCAAAACCCTCTTGAAAAGCCTTACAGCGCCATCCCTACCCAAACCAATCGGAGCGTCCTGGCTCATGTCCGAATCTAAGAAGACGAAGGTGGGCATCCTTATCACCTTCAACTCGGAATCAGTGGTAGCAGACGCTCTCGCCCAAACCGAGACCCTGAAAAGTGCGTGCAACCTTGTCCGAAGATCCCTGGTCCCAGAGATCCCAAACACCGCTGTCTGCCTGTGATCCCCCTCTCGCGCAATGACCACCAAGCGACGAAATCCTTCTCACCTCCCAAGGCACGACAATCTTCCAGGGCCTCAATGCCATCCGCGGCGCGACCTAAGCAGCCCCCTACAGGTTCGACACCAAGGCCCCAAACCCCCGCCAAGAATAAGATTAACCCAAAGACGCCTCCTAACCCAAAGCCACAACGGAACGGTTTACTCGGAAAACCCCCCGTACCATTCTTCCCAAACGGGCCAGTAGCACCACAATCCCCCCTTTTCCGCGACGCGCATCTCAGTGGACAACAGGGATACCTCGCACACTCCCGTTAGGGTTCGCAAACCGGCCCTTTTTCTCCCCGTGTCCAATCCTACTCGTCCGCCCAACCTCTTCAACAGGTCGAGGCATTTACACCGCAGAATGGTTCACAATCCGGACCGTGTCCACAGCCCTCTTATTACAAACCAGATACCTGATTGAGAGCCCCTTCAAATGATCCCTCCTCTAACCCTGTTACTACTGAAATCGCTGGTGAGTGGGCTCTACAGTGTATCTCCACTAACTGTCTCATCATCTCAAACAAGATTCTGGAAGTTGAACAGTTAGTGGCCGATAAGAAACCCCATGTTTTAGCCCTCACAGAAACCTTGTTGACCCCGGAAAACAACGATGGTGAAACATCCCTTGCAGGTTACTCAATGATCCGAAGAGACTCAATGGGACGTCGAGCAGGTGGTGTGATCCTCTACGCGAGTGACCACCTCACCCAAGCGATCACTCTATCTCTCCTCCCATCCCCTTCATAGACTGCCTTTGGGTACAAATTCCCCTGTCGCGCTCTGAGACACTGGTGCGAGTAGTCTATCGCTCACCCTACCGTGGCGAGCTAGAATCACAACGCCTGATGGATCACCTAAAAAGCTTAAGATCTATGCGTCCCAAAGCGCATCTTCCGATAACTGGAGACTTCAACGCTCCGGCAATAGATTGGCTCAGACTCCACGCTTCGAGCAACACATTTGGTAGGCTGTTAGTCAACCTGGTCACCGAAGTGTCCTGGTCTCAGCACGTCAAAAGCCCAACGAGATACAGAAATGAGCAAGCCCCCTCATTGCTACATCTTGTCATAACAGGTGATATTCACCTCACAGACACAATCCAACAGCATTGCCCTTTGGGCACGAGCGATCATATCGTGTTGCCTTTCGGGTTCATAGTCCGATAGCCCAGATGCGTTTTACTGTGTCTAAGGGAGGTTCGTTCTTTTAAAAGGAAAAACTTCACAACTTAAGACATTTCCTCCAAGCCCGTACCCCACAAACCAACCAGATAAGTGAAGTAAACATCTTGAATAGCACAATGGAGAGGTGTATCCGTACAGCGGACCATCTGCTTGTGCCCCGCGTTTGTAAATCTTCATCAAACAGACGTCCCTTACCGCGTGCCATCCGTCAACTTTTAGAAGAACGCTCGCGGTCCTTCGCTCTGAACAAATTGACGGGTCTGATGAAAGATGCTAATGACTTTATCCGCATTCGCAATTTATGCAAAGCAAGTATCCGAGCATTCCAGATAAACCAACAAAACGGCATTCTAGCCAGGGCACGGGTAAACCGGTCAGTCCTGTACAAATTTATGCGACAAACCC